TAGAATAGAATAGAATAGAATAGAATAGAATAGAATAGAATAGAATAACAGTGTTGTAAGGGACCTTGGAGATCTTCTAGTCCAACCCCCTTCTTAGGCAGGAAACCCTATACCATGGGTGTCAAACTTGCCATGTCACATTGCTGTCACATGATGTATCATAACATTTTTCCCTTTGCGGTGGGCATGGCCTGCTCATCTGGCCTGTGGGCCACCAGTTTGACACCCCTGCCCTATACCATTTCAGACAAATGGTTATCCAATCCCTTCTTAACTAACTATGAAGAAATTTCTCCTTAGTTCTAGGTTGTTTCTCTCCTTGATTAGTTTCCACCCATTGTTTCTTGTACTGCCCTCAGGTGCTGTGGAGAATAGCTTGACTCCCTCTTCTTTGTGGCAGCCTCTGAGATATTGGAACACTGCAATCATGTCATCCCTAGTTCTTCTTTTCATCAAACTAGACATACCCAATTCCTGCAACCATTCTTCATATGTTTTTGCCTCCAGGCCCCTAATCATCTTTATTGCTCTTCTCTGCACTCTTTCTAGAGTCTCAACATTTTTTTTTACATCGAGGTGACCAGAACTGGATGTAGTATTCCAAGTGTGATCTAAGTTCATCTCTAGCTCTAAAATCTGATTCACTTCCTACTTAGGTAAGCAATCTGATCTCGTTTATCTTTTTCATGATCGGCCCAAATCATCTAGGTGTTACCATTAGTTGTGACCCACTATAATAATTACAGTGTGATTTTAAAAAAGCTTTTCTTTAGTTGTTTAATTCTCAAATGAATCCTTTTTATTTTCTTTGTAGCTCATAACATAACTTTTAGGAACAAATTGCTTGCATATGTTATCCCCCCATTAGATTGGATGATCAATGTTATACATTGACTTGGATCCTGAATAGGCCTGTGTAAAGTGATGTAGATTAACTTGATGAAGTGACTCATACCATGGAAGCCAGTTTTAAGAAAAACAGTTTGGATAGTCTTAAAAGTTTTTCCCTTAAGAGCTGGCGGCAGGGTTTCCACACTGGATAATGAAAGTTGCTCAGCCTGAAAATCTTTGAAATAGTGTTGTGAGGGAAGGCTGACATGCAGGAACCACACTGCTTTGCAAACAGCTTTGTAAATGTATTTCTCTGTAGTGAATCACTTCTATGAAACTTTGCATAGCTCTACAAAATAGTATTGAACATTCTGTGAAAAAGATAAAAAGAGGATTTGTTTGTTTTGGCACATTCTCTCTTCTCCCATAGCCCTTTCTTCTCCAGAGAGAATGGATAATTTCTTTTGTAGGCAGATCAAAATGAAACTAAAAGTTTAAAAAAACCCATGAAATTCAGACTCATTTCATTATTAAGTATCAATGAAACGAATTACATAATTTTCCATAAATCAAAAGACATTCTCTAATTTATATTTACTTTCTTCTGTTTCCTAGCTAGCTATGTTTCCTGGATCTACGGTTCTAGAATCCTGGGGATTTGTGTTAATTAAATTAGCCAAAAAGGATATTATCCTTCTCTTCCATAAAAGAAAAGGCAAAATAAACACAACATTGTGCTTCTAATGCTTATCGAAGAGCGGGAGACCTTCATGGCAGAAGTGGTATTCAGTAGGTTCTGACCTGTTCTGGAGAACCAGTAGTGGAAATTTTAAGTAGTTCGGAGAACCAGCAAATACCACCTCTGACTGGAGATTTTATAGTATCCTTCCCCTGCCACACCCACCAAGCTATGCCCACAGAATCAGTAGTAAAAAAAATTGAATCCCACCACTGTTTCACGCTTCTATTACTTAAAGTTTGAGTCCTCAGGTTGCTGGTCTTATCTCAATATCTTGATAAATTAGAGTTGATAGTTGACAAATCAAATTCCAGTTTTCATTTAACTCTTTCTTGTCCAAAATAGTTGAGATGGGAATTCTCCCTATTCCCTGTAATGATGTATTCCTTAGAGCAGGGATGTCAAACTTGTGTCGTCATGTGATGTATCATGACTTTTTCCCCCTTCACTAAACTGGGTGTGGCCAGTGCATGACATATCCAGCCCACAGGCCACGAGATTGACAGCCCTGCCCTAGACTCAATCTAGGCCATGTGAGTCTGCCTTATATAATGGCAAAATATGAAAATAACTGCCCTGTGTCAACATGCAATATAGCAGGATGCAATTTTGTCCAAGTTATCCTGTCATGCTTTCTTCTTGGTAATATCATAGATTTTGCATTACAATGAAAGTCCTCCACAGATCAGTCAAAATGGTTTATTAGGGCATTTGAGGCCAGTCATATCCTTGATTTTTTAAAAAAGAACACAATCTCCCTGCCTTAATTTATCATGGTCTCTTTTCTGTGTCATGTGTCATCCATTTTCTTGCCAGAACTATTCATTTGGTGCCAGCAGATTCCCTACACAAACTTTCTTCACTTTGACCC